TTTTTTTGCCGAGACTTGAAGCCTAAAAACATGAGTTACTCTCTATTTATCGATTAAATCTGAAAAATATTTGTTTTCATTTTTCTGGTTCTTTATTATTGTTTTTAATTCCCAAACATATTAGACATCAGATGTTGTTTTAGTCTTTACACCCAATACTGTAGTGCTTTGTACTTAAAATACTCGAAAGCTTTTAAGCAATAAATTATTGAATGAAATTCATATGAAAAACAATGGCTTTAGAGATGTCTTCTTCCCTTTAAAGCTTACGTGAGGCATAACACCAGCCATTGGTTTAAATATAATATAATAAAATGATTTATGAATGATATATAAGTTGTATTATGACATAATTCTGGCTAAAACAACAACAGAGGTCTGATTATTCACAAAAGCATGTTTTGCTTCATTTATAGTCATAGCGTATATTCTTTCATTGAATTCATTTGAAAATTATGTCTGTTTTAGTGAATTCTTTCAAATATATAAAACACAGAATTTTAAAACAGAATTACTATTTAAATTCATTTTGAGATTTTAATTATTAATTTCCATATCTCTTGTCACACATGTAGTCTCCACCGAAAGGCGCAACCATACCATACCGTCCTAAGCCGGCTATGCCTCCAGTGATATTTGCTGGCGGACAGGCATATACAATACAAGGACAGTACGCAATCCCGCACCCGGATGTGAGTATTGAATTGATTGTTTGACACAAACCTATCAGTTTTGATGTCAATTTTGGTCGTATTGGTCTCATAAGTGCTTCTGTAATGCAATGCTTAACACACAAAGCAATGCATGTCTTTATATTTAGAGCTATTTTTGAATTAAACCATTAATTGAGTTCAGTTTTAATTAATTATTTAATCCATATCCATTCACTCGTTTTAATAATTTAGTATACTTTTTATGAATATTTAAAATTTTCTAATTATGTCCATAAAAAAGCCTAAAAGCAAAACAGTTTGACTTTTTTTCTGCCTAATTGAAAGCAATCCCTTAATTATAAATGCAATGAATGCACTGTTTGGTGAAACAATGTATTTTGGTGTCCAATTGTTTGTGATATGAAATGCTCTAAAATAACATAAGACATGAAGTACTATATCTATAGAGAAAGTCAATATCCAATATCCAAATGCAATGAAATATGCAATAATAGCACAATTCGGTCCTTACCCTCCAAATAACTGACAGGGTTTATGTGATCAACAGTGTCACGGCTTAGTCGAGTTTCCCGCATCGGGGCTGCAGATCGGAAACACTGCTTTTGTAAGTGATTTTAATTCAAACAACAACTTTTGCAACTATTGTTCAATATATACTTTGCCACTATCAATACATTCATAAATACTTTCACTCAATGCCATCACTTGTCCGCCATATATGCCATACATGCCATACTTTGTACATTATGCCAGTTGTCACACACCTTCTTGCGCCGGTAGGGTGTGTCCACCTGACCGGTGCAGTACTGTCTCAATATCCCCGCTTAACCTCCAGCCTCCATAACCAGGAATATTCCGCCGAAACATTTCTAAATGTTGATCAAATCCATCAAACAATTCCCCCAACTATTCAATCTCCAGTTCCACAAATCTCCAGTTCCACAAACAATTCAAACCTCTATTCTCTATCTCTTTTCTCATAAGTCTGGATGTATTTGTTGTTTGTCTTATTGTTTTATTTATCTTTGTTTTCTCTGTTCGTTCACTAAAACTAACTTTTGATTAATAAAGTAATGATTGCTTTTTCGCACGTTATTTGAGTTTGACTTATAATTAATTATTTTATTACAAATACTTTACTTACTCTTCATTAACCAATGGATATATCAGTGAATTATATAAATCATTATATTTTATGGTAAGAAGTGGTTCAAGTAGTAGTTGTTAAGCAAATAAACTCAATTTCCTATTTTTATCAATGAATACAAGTTATTATTAGTTATCAAATGATTAGCCAATAAGTGTAGAGAATTGTATTGTCGCTGAAAATAAATTCCAAAAATCAATACTAAAATATTAATCATGAAAAAGTTGTTTAAATTAATACAAAACGCTTAAACGTCGGCTCAAATGAATATATTGTACTCATTGTTGTCCTCTTTCTCCTCATCTCCTCTACCTATGGCTACTCCACTCCTTCATGACATCAAACATGACATAATGACATAATGACAATGATATACCAGCTCACGAAGTTGCATAGACTGGCTCTACAGCATGCCCCTCTCCTTCCCGGGCACAACGTTGGGACCCTCAACCCTCAAGGTATCCCTCGCTTGTCTCAATCGGCCATTCCTTTCATTACTATTTCTAATGATTACCAAACATTAATTCAATTCCCATTCAATTCATTTACTAAATTCACTATAATTTTTGGCAATACGACACACTCTATCTCTATTAATGAAACACTAATTTTCATAATCAATTAAAACGTTTGCCAAAAATTATTTTATCCGACAATCAATTCAATGGAAATGATCTCAAAATAGTTTATAGAATACAGAATTCTATGTATTCTCAATAAGAGAGTGTATGTGTGTTGTGTAATAACTGTGACTGTTAATTGCTTTCACTATAGCCCTGGCAACTTTGGCAGCAGCCAATAGTCTGGGCCAACCCGGCGCAGCCACTGCTGCCATGGCCCCTACAGCCGCAGCCACCACCGAGATGAGTATTCCCAATGATCTAATCGGGTGTATAATAGGGAAGGGCGGCGCCAAAATTAATGAAATTAGGTGAGTCTCACCACTGCATCATTACCACCACCACCTCTCACTGATGCCCCCACTTGTGTTGTAGGCAACTGTCGGGCGCCACCATTAAAATCTCAAACTCGGAAGAAGGTTCAAAGGATAGAGCGGTCGCCATCTCAGGCACACCTGAGTCTATAAATCTGGCCCAATATCTAATCAATACGAGGTAAGCACACACTCTCTCTCGCATTCGCTTTGCTCTATAACTCCCTCTCCTTATATATGACAAGCGTTTCTCAATCATATGAGACATACAGTGACTTTGACTCTAATGACAAATCAAATTAACTATTCAATCAATGAATCGCGACTCTTATGTTTGTCTATCGATAAAAAGATTTCATGAAAAATATTGTTGTTTTTTATTTATTGTGTAATTTATTGAGCATATTTATTATATTTAATAAAATAATTTCATTTGAAAGTTGGTCTTAAACTATACCAAGAATTTGGTGAATATATCCCTAAAAAGCAGTCCAGTATTACATGGATTTGAATATTAATTATAGCTATAGTGTAGCGAAATTCATATTGAATGCCATACACTATATAAAGCAATCGTCTTAGAGTCGATCAATCGATGAGAACTTATTATTAAAGCAGTCCAGTATTACATGGATTTGAATATTAATTATAGCTATAGTGTAGCGAAATTCATATTGAATGCCATACACTATATAAAGCAATCGTCTTAGAGTCGATCAATCGATGAGAACTTATTATTATAATAAACTGTGAATCGAGTATTAATGGTGTATACGGTTGAGCACCGGTACTATTGGTACACAACTGTGCGCACAGACAGAGACGGAGCCATTGATTTTGAACAATACTTTTGGGAATTATATAATTAGTAGTGTTTGGCCTATAATTAAATACAATGCACACTGAAAGCAATGCCGAGCCCACCGTAACGGTGCATATATTTGATAGTGATTTATATGAAAATTTTTATTATTTATCATTTTGAATGACTTCCCAATTGTATTCATCTGCGAACCTATTATTGCCATAAAAAGCGGGTTTTTAATGAAATGCATTGGAAATGATTGGAAATGATTGGTGTATTGGTTGCTAAATATGCTCATATTATTTGAGACCAAGATTATACGGACGTCAGACACAAGACAATTGATTTGTATAATCAAATCGACGAAACAGACAGAGAGAGAAGGCTATGGCTTCGGACCAAATATATGGGGCGTTGTTGAGGTGTTTGGAAAGATGTACCACTCTATCAATCTATCAAATCTATAACTCTATAACCCTTTACTCCAAACTAACTGTGCGTAGAGAGAGAAGGCTATGGCTTCGGACCAAATATATGGGGCGTTGTTGAGGTGTTTGGAAAGATGTACCACTCTATCAATCTATCAAATCTATAACTCTATAACCCTTTACTCCAAACTAACTGTGCGTCCCATTCGTCCCTAACATTCAAATACAACTCTACCGTCAATATCGACTTCAATCCATATTTCAATTAAAATTCGCATTTTCTGTTCATTTCCTATAACAGTATTCAACCTTAAAATGTGAACATTTATTAACAGTTTAACGTGTTTTCTATTGAACATAATTCAAGAAAACAGTATTTGATGGCAGAGTTTATCCAATACATTGCTTACAATATAAATATACTCTTATATTATATATATTATGGATATTTTTAGTTCAGTTGAAAACTGTTGGGTCTTCTGAGGATTTATTGATGAAAGTAATAAATCATTAGAAAACACAATATTTTGTCATTTATGTGATTATTTGAGTTTTAGAGCTTAGATAATATTAAACTTGAGTTTAAATTTATAGATTTTCTTGAATTATCCATCAATTCTTGAGTTGTTGTGCAATAAAATGATAATATTTTCTTAAATGTATTTGAAATTCAAATTAAATAAAGAATTTATTCTATAAGTTTTCATTAATTTTGTTAAAAGTATCAGAATACAGAAAATACAAAATATTTACAAGATATATATATTTATATAATATTATTATAAATTTTATAGTTGTCTGCAATTTTTTAAAACCAAATAATATCTATAAATATGAATAAATTTTCACATTTAAGAGAATTCTTGACATTCTTAGCTATCATTGACTTGTCCTCCTGAGCCACCAGTGCTTTTGATCGCACGACTCGAGTCGTATTGTTATCAATCTATCCTCCATTCCCATCAAAATACCAGTGCTTTGTTGTGCACAACACTCACTCAGTTCTAGTAAATCACATCTAAAACTACTTTTAGCTCAACTTTTTTCACTTATCTCTCTCTCTCTCTCTCTCTCTCTCTCTCATACTTTTGTCTCTTTTTCCTTAAACTAGCTTTTCTTTAGGATTCAATTCTCTTTTTTTATACAATAGTTAACTATTTTCCTTATTTTCTCTTTTAATCTCAATTTGAAACTTTTCTTTTGCAAAACATTTGTCGATTTGATTGAAACAGAATATATCAGAATTGAATACTTTATACTTAAATATAATGTAAAATAGCAATTAATGTGTTCACGTAAGCCACCGACACTGCACTCGAACTCAATGCTAATAAATATTATAATTTCTATTCTAATATTCTTTGCAGTTTTGTTTATGTTGTGAACTAATAAAGTGAACAAATTTTCATTTAAAGTTTAATTCATACAACAAATTAGTTTTCTGTTGCACTCAATACTTGTCTACCATCTGCTCTTCGCTTTTAATAAATTATATAATTTGTTGTTTTCTTTTAATCGGTTTATTAATTAGATAATTATAGTCACGAATTAATTATTCCCTATTTTATTATTATTTTTTTAACTCATTGTTTGTCTTAATTTTGATTTTGGCGTAAGATTTATATGTTTTAGTATAGTTTGCAGTTAATTAAGATCAAGCTTTAGGTAACAATAAGTCAAATAATAATTAATTAATTGATTAACTTTAGTATAGTATAAGACACTCAAACTCTTACACTGCTGTCCATTAATGTTGGTTTTATGTCAATGCCGACCCTTTTCAGCCTTTTTATCGACTGATACTTACATTATGGACACTATCTCTCAGTTTTAGTGCTTAATTCAAGTGATTGATTACATCCTATCAT